GTGTGGCTGTGGTTTCGCTGCCAGGCGTTTGGTCCTTGGTGCTCAGCTTTGCAGCTACATCGGCAAGTGTTGTGATGGCGGCGGTGTGAGGCTTCTTGGACAATGTTGTCAATTCCTTGAGGTGGGGTGTCAGGCGACGCGCGGATGAAAATCTTGCACGGCTTCTGTCGAGCCGACGACGGTGGCACCTGTGGATGTCATTCCCTCCTTGGAGGCGTGGCCTAGCGTGGTCACCTTGTCCTTTGCGCTCCTGGAGTTGGTGGAGGTCTCCGGGCGAAAGCCTCGATTCGATTTTTGGATTGGCACAATGGCGGCGTCCTCGACGTCATTCCTCTGCTGGGAGCATGGTGTTTGGAGACAAGGTTGAGTCCTCGTTGCTCTCCTCCGGTGTTTGTTGTGGTCCTATTTTGATCCTCAGCGGCGCTATGCACGTCCGTCGTCGGTGTGTCCAAGACGGTGCCTTCTCAGAGCGGACCGAGTCTTGCCATTCATCTGTCACTTCCTTTAAGGCGTTAAGGATGGATGGTGCGTTGACAAGAGAATCTTTGCGGAAGTTGTTGGTCTTCGAAGGTGTCCGAGGTCGGTCGAGACGCGGTGCTTTGTGTCACTTTAGGATATGCTCTTTTACGTTGTAGCTTGCTCGACGGTGTTTTTTCCTTTTTGGTTTGGTTGGTTGTGATGTTCATGCTACACTCGTAACTCGTTGTTTGCATCGAGTGATAGCTTTTTTGTAATTGAAATTTTGTCTTCTATAAAACTATGCTCTCAAATAAAAAAATGGCCGGAAAGAAAACCGAGTACAAAGATTTCCGCCTTCCACTTCGAGGCCATCGATGAGCCTCTCTCTCTCAGCCTCCAACCAGCATTCTCTCTCAAAAAAACCCTCCAACCAGCATAGGAAGGTTCCTTTTAACCCACTCACCCACGCCGCAAGCACCAATAGAGACGCGCCACGTGAGCCCATCCACATCACCTCCCAACTCAACCTCACCGACAAGTGGGCCTAATC